TAGAGGTGCTCCCCCTTGTGGAGGGCTGATGGGAACCAGGTTAAAATGTACCGTGCAGCGTCGCTAGTTATGGTCCCACTGTGTGCAGCCACCGCCAGCACCCCCACACCTGTCTCAGCTTTCCAAACTGTAACTCCAAGGGCCAGCTAAATAGATCAGCAGATTAAAGCGCCTGCAAGCAGGTGCAAGGACCAGGGGTTCGATCCCTGGGCCTGCAGTGCCAGACCTGCCCCGGGGGCATGCTGAGGAGGCAATTGAGACTGGGTGTGGTTGTGCGCCTGTAATCCCAGCTCTTTGGGAGTCTGTAAACAGGTGGATCTCTACGAGTCTGATCTAGTAGTGAGACCCTGAAAACCCTGTGGACCCTTCCCTAAAATGCAACAACAACAAAAAAAACCCTAAAACTAGAACTGGTATCTACTGAACACTAACTCCAGATGGACTGATTCCCTCCTCTCTCCAGCCCAGCAACCCCCACCTACTTCCATCTCTGCATCCCAGGCGCCTCGCTTAAGAGGAATCCCACAATGCTTGTCCTTCTATGTCTAGCTAATTTTGTTTAGTGTAGCATCTTCAAGGTTGGTCCACACTGCAGGCTGGAGTTTATCTCTGTTACTTTCCACCGCAATCTGTGTGACCTTGATCAGCACCATCCTTTCTACTGTGTCCAGTGTGCATTTTTCTGTTAATAATATATTTTACCTGATTTCTTTCCTTAATTCTGTCAACTCTCATTCTCCAGCTATAATCATTTATCTCTCTTATTCAATCAAAAAGACTAAGTTTTCTTTGTTTCTTGTCTTTTTGAGATAAGGTCCCACTATGCAGCTCAAGCTGGCTTTGAGCTCACTTTGTAGCCCAGGATGGTCTTGAACTCACAATGATCCTCCTGACTGTCTCCTGAATGCTGGGAATCACTCTTCTTTGAATAGGGGCTAATAGTGCTCAACTCAACCTGCTGTATTAACCTTGGCATTTTTTAAAAACTGTTCTCTTAAATGGAAACTGCCTGGCTGTTGCCGCTGCTCTGAAATCTCTGTTTAGCTCATCTGCTTCTTTGGTGAATAGAGAGGGATGATCTGAATTAATCCAAAGTCCAGTACCACTAAATACCTCAAATGCCCTCCACACAGAACCCCATGGAGCTGTGCACAAGTCCACAGAGGACGCCCCTGAGGCTTGTGCCATCTTCCCTCCTTGTTACAGACAAGTCATTCTGGTTGGAAGTGGGGTCCCTGTATGCTCCAGAGTACCTGAGATTCTGATGCAGCGGGTCCTTATCTTTGCCTAAATATCTTCAATCCACACTTATAGCACTGATTATCTAGCTGGGGTGTTTTTCCTCTGCAAAGAGCTGAGATTTGGTTCTTCATAACCCTTTTACTTTAAAAACAAAAACCAAAACACTGTCTCCACCTCACATGCCGTCCTTCAGTTGCCCTCAATGTCCTGTGTCTTGCAAGGTGGGATCATGGCAGTCAGGACAGGCTCTGAGTCCAAGGGCTCAAGGTCATACCTTGGCTCTGCTCCTTGCTACCTAATAGCCAGTTTATTCCACTTCTCCAGGCCAGTTTTCTCATCTTTGAACTGGGGCGAGTGTTAGCACTTACTGTAGAAGGTTGCTGTGAAGACCAAGGCAGACTGAGAGCAAATCCAACACACAATGAAGAAGCTCAGTCAGTGCTTGTCATTGTCACCTTTCCTTTCTTTCTTCTTTCTTTCTTTCTTTCTCTTTATTTTATTTTTGAGACAGGGTCTCACATGCAGTTCAGGCTGGCCTTGAGCTCACTTTGTAGCCCAGGCAGGTCTTGAACTCATAATGATTCTCCTGCCTCAGCCTCCAGCTGGAACTACAGGCAAGCACCACCATACCTGCCTGGTCTTCTCTATCTTTTCTTTCTTCTTTCTTTCTTTCTTTCTTTCTTTCTTTCTTTCTTTCTTTTCTTTTCTTTTCTTTTCTTTCTTTCTTTCTTCTTTCTTTTTTTCTTTCTTTCTTCCTTCCTTCCTTCTTTCTTTCTTTTTGTATTTTAGGGAAGGGTCTACAGGGTGTTCAGGATCTCACTACTAGATCAGACACATAGTGATCCACCTGTTTACAGCCTCCCAAAAGCTGGGATTACAGGCATGCACCACTATGCCCAATCTCAACTGCCATCTCAGCACACCTCAGGGGCGGGGCTGGCATGGCAGGCCAGGGAATTGAATCCCTGGCCCCTGCGCCTGCTTGTAAGCGCTTTAATCCACTGAGCTATTTGGCCAGCCCTTCATTATTTTTTTCAAGGTGCTCCAGAGGATAAAATTCAATAATCTCTGCTGGGTGGAGTGGTGCATACCCATAATCTCAACTACATGGGAGGCTGAAGTAGGAGGACCTGAAGTGCAAGACCAGCCTGGGCAATGTAGCAAGACCATGTCCCAAAATTAAATTGCCTTGAGTCAGTACACACACACACACACACACACACACACACACACACACATACTGATGTTGATGATGTCTAGAAAGCCCACAGTACAGAGCTCTTCGGTGCCTCAGAAGCAGAGGTGCCGCAGGGAGTGATGCATGCAGGGAGAAGGATACCCCAGAGTGTCTCTGCCCTGGACTAGAAGTCCTCTTTCTTCCTTTCAAATGCTTACTGAGCACCTCTGTCTGTTTGCCACCTGCAAATCCAGTCAGATACCCCCAGGTTCCAGAGGCTTGGCATTCACTTCTTATCTCATATTCAAAGATATTAATAGGTAATTGTATTAAGCAGAAGCCTATGACCATACCTTTTAATATGTTACCTAAACAAAACTAAGAAATATTCATATAATTTTACTTACTGAGACAGATGCACAAACGTGGCCTTGGATAATCTTGAGCTCACCTGTTCCAGCTTTGTTATGAGCTCAAGGGTTAGCTTCCCATGACTCTCAAGAAGTCCCAAGAGAAATGTGGTATTTAGGTGCATGCTGGCTTCTCTTTCTAAGCTCAGCTGTCCACTTGAGAGTGATTCTAGGTTCCTTGCCTTGCCTGCTAACCTCGCCTCCAAACCTGGACACTGGGCTGGAGCTATAGCTCACTAGCACAGTGCCTGCCTTGGCAAGCTGAAGGTCCTGAATTTGATTCCCAGTACCAAAAGAAACCCCTCTTGACATTGCCACTGAACTTACCACATCTTGCTAAAGTTTAGGGGTGCTATTATTGAAGGAGGAGGTGGAGGGTAGAGGGAGGATGAGAAGAAGAAAGAAGAAGAGATGATTCTAGAAATCTCTGCCAGCAGTTTCTTCTCCTGACTTGAACACCCTCTCTGTGTGATGGGGCATTGCTGCACATGTCTAAGTGTTCTTCCAAAACAGATGCCCAGTTGGTGTGTAAGGACTCAGAGCCAGGCTTGGTGGCACACAATGTAATCTCAGCACTCTGGGAAGTTGAGGCAGAAAGACTGCATGTTCAAACCCAGCCTGGGCAATTTAGTGATTTAGTGAGATCCTGTCTCAAAATAAAATTTAAAAAATGGAAAGGGCTGAGGATATAGTACAGTGTACTCCAGTACTGGATTTAGAGAATTATATGGAAGTTGCTTGTAGAATACATCTAAGTATACAAAGTTAAACATTACCATTGTCTCCATTACTCTCTAACAGTGTATGATCTCCTATCTGATTAGGATTAAACTCTGCTGTAAGTAGCAGAAAACCCAAAGTAACAGTAGCAGGGCATGCAGCTCAGTGGCAGAGGTGTTTGTTTGTTTGTTTGTTTGTTTGTTTTTTTAATGTAGTACAGGGTCTACAGGGTCTCACTACATGCCTCGGACTCATAGTGAGCCTCCTGTTTTCAGTCTCCCGAATGCTGGGATTACAGGTGCATGCCACCATGCTCAGTCTCAATCGCTGTCTCAGTGCGCCCCAGAAGTGAGGCTGGCATGGCATGTGGTGCCCGGGATCAAAACCCAGTCCCTGTGCTCTGCCTAAGCAGGCACAGGCCCTTTAGTCCACTGAGCTATCTGGCCGACCTTGTTTTGTTTTTTTTTTTCTTTCTTTCTTTTATTCTTTGTTTCTTCCTTTCTTTTTTTCCAGTATTGGAAATCAAATGCATGACCTTGCATTTGCCAGGCAGGCGCTGTGCCCCTGAACTATATCCCCAGCCCAGTGGCAGAGTACTTACCTAGCACACAGGTCTACTATCTCCAGGGTTGAGAGCTCCCACTGTAATGGGATCTCACATCTGGCTAAGACTCGGAGCTCTGTTTTTGGACCAGAGGGATGCTGGGCAGTCTCCCTCGTCTGTGTTTCTCTCCATACTTTAGGAATTTCCTTTTCTCTAGGAAAACCTTTGCTCCATTTCTCACGCACACATGCCCAGGTGACCACATGTGCACTCTTAGCCCAATTCTTCAAGGCTCTTCAGTTCCAAAGCAGCACAGGCTGCAGCCAGCTCAGCCTCTGAGCCTCTGTTCCAAACTCCTGGAGAAGGACCTCGATTGATCCTGTTGGGCAAGAGAATCACCTCTGAAGCTGATCCTGTCCTCTGTGGTCAAGGGCCTCACAGAACTCTCCCTTTTAGGGTGGGATGAAGCAGCTCTGTAAGAAGAGGGTGTGAGTGTCTCTGGCTATGGTTGTCTGCCTGGAATTTAGGACAGGGTATTTAATCCAGAGCCAGAAGCCTCCTGGCATATTCAGCACGTATTAAACTGTGGGCAAGGCGCTTAGCTCGGGAGCTCAGCACTTGCTCCATGCACCCCCGCCTAGGACTGCAGAGAACCTCCCCATAGTGTGGTCTCTGAGGGCCCAGCCTGGGAAACAGGCTGTGTGGCTCTGGGTCCCTTTCCACCTGAGCCTCTTCCAAGTCTCAAAGCTGGGCCCCTCTGGGCAGATCCTCTTGTGACTGACCCTCAGCCAAAGTGAGACTCTGGACACAGGGACATCCAGAGAGCTGTCACTCTGAGGGGTGGGACCAGCCTTAGAAAACAGCCAAGGCTCATGGTGCCTCTTATCTCCTCCACCTGCCCCTGCAGGCCTCAAACCCCCTATGGCAATCCCGGGGCTCCACTGCTGTGTCTTCAGGAGGCCGTTTCCGCTGCCCATCATGTAGGCATGAGGTTGTCCTGGACCGACATGGTGTCTATGGTCTTCAGCGAAACCTGCTAGTGGAGAACATTATCGACATTTACAAGCAGGAGTCCTCAAGGTGAGCTGCCTCCTCATGGGCCAGGGAGGCTCCCTAGTCACCTTTCTCCAGGCTGCAGCCCAGTCCTGGACCTTGCCAGCCCTTTAGGACTCTGTTCCTCATGATGGGACATCCCTAACCACTGGAATACAGGCCATTCTTGAATCCAGCTGTGCTACCCCTTAGTGCCTTCTCTTCCCCATGTGAGGAGCACTATGGGAGCTGCTTACCAGTCAGGCACAGCACCAGCTGCAAGGGCCCAGAGAACAGCAGCGGCTGGTGGCTGGGAAGGGGCCCACATTCAGGACCCACTCACCCCACCCGGCCTGGCCACCACGCTTCCTGCTCCCCCCAGGCCGCTGCACTCCAAGGCTGAGCAGCACCTCATGTGTGAGGAGCACGAGGAAGAAAAGATCAACATCTACTGCCTGAGCTGCGAGGTGCCCACCTGCTCACTCTGCAAGGTCTTCGGGGCCCACAAGGACTGTGAGGTGGCACCATTGCCCACCATTTACAAACGCCAGAAGGTATCATGGGTGGGGGGAGCAGGGCTTAGGGCAGGATCAGCCATGACCCCGTGAAAGCTGCCTGACTTCTCTGGTCCTAACACTCCTCATGTGTAGAAGAAGGAATATATGTGTCTCTTTCTGACAGTTGTCTCGGGCAGGGGGAAACAGTGCATGGCAAACCAGATGCTCTCACGGGCCTCTTGCTATGGAACAACAGTTTCTGCATAAACCTGGTTTTAAAATGGTGTTGGCTGGATGGAAGAAGTAAAGGGAGCCTCCAAGGGGAACAAGAGGGTAGGGGAAGTCGAAGGAAGACAGAACTCTGGGCAATCAGCACAGAAGAATCATCAGTTCCAAGAAGACCAATACCCTAAAAGGTCAGGGAGCTACACCCATAGACCCCGGGTTAAATTGGAATCCTAGACATTAAATGGCCAATTCCATCACTTGTCTTTCAGCAGAAGCAAATTTGTCTGGAGGAAAAGAACCTTAGATTCCCCTTAGAGTAAGATTAGTGAAATATCAGCTCACAATTGACCATACACAAAGGAACATACTCTACAAATGAGGTTTGCAAAAACAAAAATCATAGTTTAGATTAATTGGGAGGTTAAAATTACTACAGAATAGAAAATCATTACAAATATAATATTTATTTATTTATTTACTTATTTATTTATGAGCCAGTTTCACTATGCATTTCAGGCTGGCCTTAAACTCACTTGGTAGTCCAAGCAGGCCTCAAACTCACAGCAATCCTCTTGTCTCAACCTCCCAAGTTCTGGATTATAGGCATGTGCCACCATGCCTCGCAGATTTGATTTTAAAAGATTGGATTTTTTAAAAAAGCAATAATAGAATATCAAAAATGACCTCATAATTATTGACTTTGGTAGCATATGTCTATAATCTCAGCACTTGGGAGGCTGAGGCAAGAGGGTCTCCATGAGTTGAAGGCCAGCCTTCAGCCCTGGATAGTGAGACCATGTCTCAAAAACAAAAATCAAACAACCATCATCACCACTATAACAAAAAATGACCATGCAGATTTGAAAAGAACCAGATAGAGATTTTAGAAATAAAGAAGAAATGTTGAAAGAAAATATTTAGTGGATGAAATAAATGATAGATTTCCCTGGAGAGAGAATTATTGATCATGACAAAGGCACTGAACACAACTGAACACAGTCCTGGGAGGTGAGGATGAGAAGGTCTGGCATGAGTCTTGTCAGACTCCCAGAATGGGAGAATAGAGAGTGGAGAGCCAGACACAGTTGTGTATGCCTACAATCCCAGTACTCTGGAGCCCCAAGCCAGAGGATGGCAGGAGTTTCAGGCCAGCCTGGATGACCTAGTGAGATGCTGCCTGAGGTGGGGACAATACTGTATTACCTTAATGAACGTCAGTAAGAAAATTCAGGACTGATGAAAGACATACATCTACAGATGACATTGCAAGCCCAGTGTCTGGCCCATGGTGGATGCCTGAAGATGTCTCTTCCTGTCTCATTTGGTGGTGGAGAGCTGCTTCTCCTCCATTCAGAACCTGCAGACTGCACCTCCCAGATCTCTGTAGACGTCCTGATGGGAGGATGGGTGGAGGGGCTATCTTTTCCTAGGTGCCTTGCTGGGGTGAGAGGGGTGCAGCCACAGGCCAGATCCTCAAGCTCTGACAACTGGCCTTTGTGTGTGGCAGAGTGAGCTCAGTGATGGCATCGCTATGCTGGTGGCGGGCAATGACCGAGTACAAGCAGTGATCACGCAGATGGAGGAGGTGTGCCAGACCATCGAGGTGAGCCTGGGCTGGGAAGGAAGGAGATAGTGGTCAGCTGGCCTGGAGATCCTGAGGGTCAAAGAGAACTACTTCTCTCTGACCTCAGGCCAAATTGGCTAGAAAATTTCTGGGCTCCTGAAGGTGGTAGTCAGGCTTAGCTAAGCTGCTTGGATTGAATCCCAGACCTTCTGCTCACTAGCTCTGTGACTTTGGTCTAGTTACCTAACTTCCCTGGGTTTGTGTTGTGTTTTTTAATGACATAAAATGGTGGATGAGGGCTGGGGAGATAGCTGGGCTGGGGAGATAGCTCAGTGGCCTAAGTACCTGTCTGGCAAGTGCAAGGTCTCAAGTTCCATCCCTGGTACTGCATGCTGTGCTGGCCCGAAACCATGAGTGGTGGCACATACCTGTAATCCCAGCACTGAGGGAGCTGAGACAGGAAGATCACTACAAGTCTGAATTGCTTGGCGAGACCCTGTATCAAAAAAAAAAAAAAAAGTTTTAAAAATGGTGATGAACTGGCCATGGTAGCACATACCTGTAATCCTAGCACTCAGGAGGCAGAGGCAGGAGGATTGCTGTGAGTTTTAAGCCAGCCAGAATTATAGAGTGATTGTTTCTCAGCCTTTTGGCTAAGATCAGCTGAATTGCAGAGAATGACTGTGTCTCAAAATAAATAAATAAATGGGGATAATGATGACGATATAGTGACCACTTTATGGGATCTTTGGGAAATTAAATGGAATAATGCAAAGCAAACCTGGATCAGGGATAGGGCTAGCAGCCAGTGAAGCTACTTTGAAATGCTGTGTTGTTGCTGTTGCTGAATAGCTCTGGCCTATCTTCTGGCTGTGCACTTAAGGGAGTGCGGACCCCTCAGGTCAGTTTCTTTGGCTTTCTATGAATCAGCGGCATAAGCATCGGCCTGGCAAGTGCAAGGTCCTGAGTTCAATCCCTGGTCTCAGCCTACCTTCCTTCCTTCTTGCTTGCCCCGGGTTTCTTAGGACAATAGCCGAAGGCAGAAGCAGTTGTTAAACCAGAGATTTGAGACCCTCTGCGCGGTGCTAGAGGAGCGCAAAGGGGAGCTGCTGCAGGTGCTGGCCCGAGAGCAGGAGGAGAAGCTGCAGCGTGTCCGAGGCCTCATCCGCCAGTACGGAGACCACCTGGAGGCCTCTTCCAAGCTGGTGGAGTCGGCTATCCAGTCCATGGAAGAGCCGCAGATGGCGCTTTATCTCCAGGTGAGCCTGGGGGAGGCAGCAGCTTCCAGGTTCAAATCTTTCCTCTCCTACTTACTTACCCCACCCCGTGATCTTGGGCAAGCTGCTGTCGCTGTGCTCATGGTCTCCTCGAGGAAATGGGCAGTGTTGTGGCGAGAACCCAAAAGGGGCTTGGCCTGGGCTGGCCCAGTGCTTATTTAGTTCTCTTCTCCCCTGCAGCAGGCCAAGGAGCTGATCAATAAGTGAGTAGCGGGAGTGTGGGGAGGGAGCAGAGGAGACTGCGCGGATTCCCCACCCCCCAGGGAGGGCTGGAAGGTGCCATGGCGGTGCCAGCTGAACCACAGTGGCCATGTAGGGTCGGGACAATGTCGAAGGTGGAACTTGCGGGCCGGCCAGAGCCAGGCTACGAGAGCATGGAGCAGTTCTCTGTGAGCGTGGAGCACGTGGCTGAGATGCTGAGGACCATCGACTTCCAGCCTGGTGCGGACCCAGGGAGGCTGGGCTGGACGTCTGGACCTGGCGTGGGATGAGGGAGGTCTGGCGGCCCAGGAGTAGGGATGTCACCTCACCTGTCCTTTTGGCCCAGGCACTTCCAGGGAAGAAGAGGATGAAGAGGTGGTGTTGGACGCAGAAGACGGCAGTGCAGGGCAGGAGGAAGAGCGGCCCGATGCTTTAGAAGGTGAGAGGGCTGGGGTGGAGCCTGGCTGGTATTCGAGTCCCCTTCTCCGCGAATGCCCTAGCTGTGGCCCCGCGCTTCTGCCTTTTCAGTGCCGCCCACCCAAGGTGCCCAGCGCGCCCAGTATGCTCTCTTTCCCAACATCTATTCCTCTGGAGGCTTTGGGGCATCTGGTTGCACCCGCAAGGAGTGGAGAAACCCCGGTGGCTGGGAAAGCAGTGAACTGGACTTGGGGCTTCCCTGTTTGAAGCACCTGTCCACCCAGCCTTCTTTCCCTGGCACAGGCCTGCACTGAACGGCGCCCACCCTGGTTGAGAGCCAGTGCGCTCCAGGCTGGGCCAGGGTGGTAGAGGATCTGCGTGGAGACCACCCGCTACCCAGCTTGGCGCCCCGGCCGGGAAGGCCTCAATAAAGGACTCTGGTGTCCTAGAACCTGATCCCTACTTTCACCACCCACTCCCCTAAACTGAGCTCGCCAAGTGACCTCACCACCATCCCGCTCTTCACCTGAGACCTTAGAGGGTGGAAGGGAAATGAGCCCTTGTTGGCACTTTCTTGCCTGATCTGATTCCTGAGTTCACTACACTGGGAAGAAGGACAGGCAAGGATGGTGTGGCTATGCCTGGACCTCTGAGTTCTGGGACCGGGTTGGGGGTGACAGGACCCACAGGGACCTGTCTGAGAGCCGCTGTCCTGCGCCCTCTGAATATCTAGATCTCTCCTGCTGCAGGAGAGGCCCCAACTCTTCTACCAGTTACCATCCTGCTGTAGTTGCCCTCGCCCCTACGACAGAAACCGAAGGCTCTTTAGCATTTTTATTAAAAAAAAAAAAAAAAAAAAAAAAAAAAAAAAGGCACACAGAGAGCTCAGGATGTCTCCGGACTACTCCGCACCGCGGGACTGGGTCAGTTCCGGTAGTGTTCGGGCCAGCCCCGGGGTGGGGGAAAGGGACAAGGTTTCTGCGCCCCAGACCCGGCCATCACTTGCCCACGGAGTCGAATATGATGCGGTTCTGCTCAGCGCGCTCCCTCTGGCTCTGTGTCCGGGCCAGCTCCAGCAGGGTCCGCAGGAGGTGGAAGGTGAGGTCAATGGACAGTGGAGGGTCGTCCCGTCGCGGCCGCTCACCCGCCGTTCCGGGGCCCCAGCCAGTGAGCCCCACACGGCGCGGGAAGCGCTCCGCCAGCAGCAGAAGGAGCGCTCGGGCTCCACCGCCCTGGCTCCGAGTCCCCGGGCTCCATCGCAGACTCGGGTCCTGGACCCCAGCAGCCGCTGCCACCGCCGCTGATGCCGGACTCCACTGGCTGTTCCCGGGGCGCAGTTGCGCCAGGAGCAGCAGCCCCACCACCAGTGCCACACGTCCTGCCTGCCTCATGGTGCCGCGGGCCCTGGACACACAGGGGCAGCAGAGGTGAGCCGTGCCCGGGGCAGCCGCAGGTGGCGAGTCCTGTCCCGCGCACGCCCAGCAACCCGCCGGGACCCTCCCGCCCCTCCCTCCGCGGGTTGCCCTGGGTGGTTTCGGCCAGGGTTGTCTTGGCGCAGGGTGCTGGCTGGTGCCGAGGGAATCTGGACGGTCGGATGCTCCAAGCCACTCACAGGTTGTCGGAGAGCGGAGTGTCTGCTGGTGCTAGGCGGACCTCCAGTGTCTGTGCCTTGGGGCGGTCTGAAGGCGCCTCGGGGACCACGGGGTCTGTCCCGGACTGCAGCCAGCCTTATATAGCACCACGACAGCTCCATCTGACGTCAGTGGAGAACATCACTGATTGTAGAAACAATGACAGTGGCAGCTCCAAGCCCCAGAGGGACACCTCACTGGACACTAGACCTCGTATCCCTGGGGCAGCGCTAGAAGTGGCATGGAACGCAGGCAGGGCCAAAAGATTGCCCCAGGATCCACGTGTGCCCTCAGTTCCGCTGAGAACATCTAGTAGTGAGCAGGGGTGATCCTCAGACCCGGCTAATCCCAGGGCTTCGCTTCTCTCTAGTTGGAGGCAAGCCCGTGACGCTGTCCGTGGTCCTGATCCTGTCCCCCAAGGCAAATGCTGCACTCCTTAGACTCTGGTAGGGCCCAGCTATCAGGTTTTCAAACTGAAGCAATCAGGAGCGCACTGCTGGCACTCGGCCAACACCATGGATCCCACCAGGAGGCCTCTGCTTCAGATCCCACCCAACTTTTTTTTAATAGACCCTGAATCTCACTTGTACAGCCTTGTGGCTGAGGCACTATATGCAGGTCTCTAGCTTCAGACCACAAAAGGCAGGTCCCTCCGTTTTCTGAGTTCACCAAAAGTAGTTTAGCAAAGCTGTTTTCCTCATGGATGTAAGAGAAGTTCTTATGCATCTGACTTTCTAGTTAAGATCACAGGGGAAGGGGCTGGAGAGATGGCTCAGTGGTCTAAAGCACCTACTTAGAACAAGCTTGGCAAAAAAGCATCAGGGACCACGGTTCAATCCCCCAGCACCACATGCCAGCCAGCCCTGCCCCCTGGTGGGCTGAGCTGGCCACACACACATACACCACACTCTCTCTCTCTCTCTCTCTCTCTCTCTCTCTCTCTCTCTCTCAAATAAATAAAAAAAAATTAAAAAAAAAAAAAAGATCACAGGGGAAGATGTAAAGAAACTGAGTTCACCGTTCTACTCTGCCATTAAGTCCTACAGTGAATAGGTCGCTCATTTCTATGGACCTCAGTGTCCACATGTGCAAGAGATGACTGGGCTAGGAGGACCAGACTTTTTTCCAGCCTCAGCCTCTGCCAGTTCTACATTGGTAGTTAACATATTAAATATATATATATATATATATATATATATATATATATATGTATATGCTATATATATTGTCTGAGGGGTCTCCAAGGAAGAACACCAGGGCTGGAAAGGGTTACACTAACAGACCTATCTATAAAAAGGGTAAAGTGGCATTTGTTGGTATGTGGATGAAAAGTGGACAAGGTCATACAATTCCACAAATATTTATGGAGTACATACTACACATGTGGCGTGAGAGACCACAATCCTGTGCTGTAAATGACATGTCAGTCAATGGCAGACTATGTACATACTACGTACACAACTGTGACCCCATAAAATTATAATGGAGTCAAAAACTTCCTATCACCTACTGGCACAGTCCCTGCTATAACATCACAGTGCAATGTGTTTTCCTGTGCCTATGGCGATACCAGTGGAAACAAAAATGCTGTGGCGCCAGCTGCATAAAAGCACAGTATGTACAATTATCCACAGCATGTAAGACCTGACAATGAACAACGTTACTCGTTTGTGTATTTATATTTATCATTATTTTACAGTGTACCCCTTCTTCTATGGTAAACCAGTAGGCTGTTACACAGGCAGTGGTCTCATACATCTCAAGTTTACTGTCTCCTGTTTGCATCAAAACACCATGCTGTGGGACTGACCCACAGCACACAGGCGTAAGGACCACTGTGGTGTTCACACAGTGCGGCAACTGCCTAACAGTACTGTTCTCAGAACACATCCCTGGCCTCAAGTACTTGTGAAGGTATCATAAAGGCGTCCATGATTTCAGAAACAGTCAGCATACATTTTGGAGTGAACTGCGCTATTGCAGAGTGCTCTAACCAGCAACCCCACCTCATGGACACTGATCTGCAAAACTATGAAAAGACAGCATTCCAGGGTCACAGTTCACCACTGCAGTGGGACCAGTGGGGCAGGGCAGGGTTAGAGTTGATGTGCCTTCCAGGACAGGTAGGAATTCCAGATGACAGCAACACACTGGACAACGGCCAACCTAGCAACAGAATACCATGGTGAAGAAGGGGATGAGTCTGGGTTTGATGGTGCATGCCAAGGATGAGGCTACACAAGTTCAAGGCCTGCCAGGACAACTTAGCAACATTCTATTTCAAAAAAAAAAAAAAAAAGGCTGAGGACATAGCTCAGTGGTACAGTGTTTGCCTAGCATTCTGAGACTCTAGGTTCAACCACATAGAGAGGCACAGAGAACACAGGAAAACAGAAGGGATAGCATAGGAAAAATACAGTCAAAAAGGAGGGACTGCTCTGAGCATTTTCAGATCAGGTTCTCCTTCCTTCAGCCCCAGGGGAGAAGCAGCACCCTGGACTAGAGAACAACTACAAGCTCAGATTCTGATGCTGTCCTTAAGCTCTGCCTTCCAGATGACAGCCTCAGTGGTTCTCTGCTTCCAGTAGTTCTTTCAGACATGGCCCTGTCATCACATGCATGCCCAGGCTCTTTCTCAAATTCAGGGCTTAAACCCAGGGCTTTGCATGGATGAACTTCATCCCCTTTTTCTACTTCTTGAGACAAGGTTTCCCTGTGTTGATAACTTGCCCAGGCAAGGCTCACACCTTTTCCTTGAGGTGCTGAGAGTCAAGGACAGGGCCTTGAACATGCTAGGCAAGCAAACCACCACTGAGATACAATCACAGCCCAGCAGAGTGCCCTTTTTTAAAAAAAAATTATATATTTGGTACAGAGTCTCACTCTGCAGATCAGAGGCGGGGCTGGTACAGTATACGGTAGCAGGGATTGAACCCAGTCCTTGTGCCTGCCAGGCAGGCGCTTAGACTGCTGAGTTATCTCTATGGTACCTCCCTTGTTTTTTGGTCATACTGGAGACTGAACCCAAGGCCTTTGCATTAAGCTACATTCCAGCTCTTGTTATTTCTTATTTTTGAGACAGTGTATCTTGATAAATTGCCCATGCTGGGCTCAAACTTCCAATTCTGCTTCAGCTTCCAGAGTGCTAGGACTAAAGCACAAAGTTAATTTGTGCTCCTTCTTTATTTTAAATTAAATTTGATCTGGTTTCAGAGAATGTTGCAAAGGATCTTAATGTTTAGGAAATGGTTCAGAAATCTGAGTTCTTGCCAGGGGGAGAGCTCAACAGCATAAGCACCTGCCCGGCAAGCTCAAGGACCTCAGTTCAATCCTTGGCACCAAAAAAATAAAATAAATAAAAAATATAAATAAATCTGTGTTTTTAGTTATGTTATTCATGCAAACTTTGACTGTGTCCCCTCTAAAAAGTTTTTCTTCCTCTCCCTCTCTGTCTGTTTCTGTTTGTGTGTCTCTCTCTCTGTGTCTCCTGTTTGGTGTTTTGATTTTAGAGACAGAACCTAACTATGTAGTTCAGGTTGGCCTTAACTCACTCTGTAGCCCAGGCTGTCCTCAAATTCATGGCAATCTTCTTGCCTCAGCCTTCCAACTGCTGGGATTACAGACACAGCACCATCACACCTGGTCTAAAAGTTTCATATATTTCCCTGTTCTCAAGACAGCTGCAAGCATTTTAACAATTCATCTTGAGTTCCACTCCATTTTTTATTGCAGTTCAGTAATAACCTTCATTATTAGAGCAAAGTAATATTTTGTAACACACTGACCAAATTCCTACCTGGCCTTTAAGTCTGTCTCTCTCTCTGTTGCCCTGTGTCTGTCTGTCTGTCTGTCTCTCTGAGTCTTTCTCTCTCTGTTGTTATTACTAGGGATTGACCTCAGAATCTTCACACTGAGCTGCATCTTCAGCCCTCATCCATTTTTTCTTTTTAAACTTTTTTTTTTTTTTTTTTACTTTTGATATAGGGTCTTAGAGGCCAGGGAGATAGCTCAGTGGAATAAATGCTTGCCTGGCAAGTGCAAGGTCCTAAATTCAATCCCCAGTTCCACAAAAAAAAAAAAAAAAAAAATAGGGTCTTGCTATGCAGTTTGGGCTGGCCCTGTGCTCACTTTTTTGGCCCCCAGGCTGGTCTTGAACTTCACAGTGATCCTCCTGTCTCAACCTCCTGAGTGCTGGGATTACAAGCATGTGCCACCATACCTAGTTCCAGAGCCAACAAAGCATGCTGGGGTTCCAGGGTTGGCACGGCATGTGGTACCAGGGATCAAACTTGAAACTTTGAGCTTGCCAGGCAGGTGTTTATGCCCCCATGGAGCTATCTCTCCAGCTCCCCCCCCCCCCCCCCAGTCTTTTTTTTTTTTTTTTAGAAAAAACTCTCATTAAGTTGCTCAGACTAGGCCAGAACTTGTGATCATCCTGTCTCAGCCTCTCAAGAGTGCTAGGATTACAGATGTACTCCACTACACCTAGCTGGGTCTACTTATCTGTCTAGCCTACGGCTTCAGAGACAGGAATACCCCTAAGAAGATTATAGCAAGGTCAGTGGGGGATACTCTGGGACAGTTTCTATAAAGGGTTTGAAGTTCTTTTTTTTTTTTTTGGTGGAACCGGGGATTGAACTCAGGCCCTTGCGCTTGCCAGGCAAGCACTTATTCTACTGAGCTATCTCCCTGGCCCAAGGGTTGGAAGTTCTAAATAAAATGAGTGGGAGTTTGAAGAGCTCTGACCAGAGCAGCATGTGCTAGCTTCAGGGTCTACTCTGCTTACAGTTATTGGTAGTGTAGAGTTGGGTTTTTTGCTTTTTGTTTTCTTTTTGAGACAGGGTCTCTTGGTGCAGTTCAGTTGAGCTCACTTTGTAGCCCAGGCTAGTCTTGAACTCCCAACAATCCTCCTGCCTCAGCCTCCCAAGTGCTGGGACTACAGGCATACACCATCACACCTGGCTTGGTAGTATAGGTCTTTTGGCGGTAGGGATCTATCATACCTGTAATGCAGGGGGACCAAGTAGAAGTTGGCTAACTGCACAGCAGGCCAGAGCTATAAAAAGAAAAGATAAAAGTTGGCTGGCTGCCTCGTTGATCAGAGCTCAACCCTTGCCTGGCCCTGGCCTGTTTCTGCACACAGGCAGGGGCAGCAGAGGAGTTCCCACATGGGAATAAGAGAGCAATGCCAGCAGGGAATTCCCATGCCAGTAGAACACAATTAAATCCCAGGGCATTTCTAGACTTCAGGAAGCAGGAAAGCCAGGGAGAAGGAGTCAGCTCTTACATAGTAGTTGGTGATGAGGGCATCAGGATAATCCTGAAGAAATAGAAGGAACAAATTAACCATGGACTACCAAGCAACCACTCCCTCCAAGCATAAATATGACATGTGGACTCTTTGTTTCGAGAGCACACTCCTGCCCTACACTCCACTTGCTCCTCTCCTGCCTAGCCTGGGACTCTCCCTGTACCTCTCTGGCTTTGCCCATCTCCTTCCTCTGGGGCTGTCAGCCTGCCAGCCAGAGACCCACTTACCCGCTGCAGTTTGGCCCAATTGTCCTGGGCTGATAGTCCATTAAGTGTCCCTACCAGTGGCAGGAAGCAGCCTAGGAAACACGGAGCAAAGGCCCCCTAGGGAAGATAATTTGAAGCTCTGTGAGAACCCTACTACACCAACCAGGCTCACCCTTCCCAACTCACTTTCATGTCACCTACCTGGTCCAACAACATCTTCTTTAGTGCATCCAATTTGGTGGTGCCAGGAATGAGCCGGTCTAAAACCTTGTACCAGCCTCCTACTACAGGGCCCTGAAAGTAAAGCCTAGCTATAGGAGCAGGATGTAGAGAGGGACACTTACCTTTTATATAACAAAACTCCTCCCCCATGTAGCAGAGATCAAATCCCAGGGGTGGGGGGCACACACACTAAGGCAAAAAAAGAGAAGCAGACTGGCCTAGTTGGAAGAGGCGTGGGGAATTGCAGGACAGCAGAGGACAAAGACCTCTGCTTGGTGCACTGCAGCCCCACGGTGGACAGAACTTACCACAAAGCCACAGCCCAGACACACCATGGTCCACGTCCGGCGTGTTTGGTGTTCCTGAAGACCCCGCCTCTCCACCAGCTGTTGTGAGATCAGGTCACCCAGGCCCATCAGGGACCCTGTGCAGGGTACACACATAATAAAGCATCTCCCAAAAGTTTAAGTTACTAACCAATGAGACTTTGGCACTCTGAGCCCCAGGGCTCCATTCTGGGCAAATTATCCATTCCTTTCTGCTGCCCCAAAGACCTTTCTTCAAGGATAGTGATGCCTCATGTGTGTCCTCTCAGAAACTAGGATGACTGTGCCAGGAACCAAAAACTCTACAGTAAGCAGTAAAGGGAAGTCAAGACAGAAACTGCAGAGGAAGAACCCTACCTCACCAGGTGTGGTGGCACATGCCTGTAATCCTAGCACTTGGGAGGTTGAGGCACAAGGATCATTGCAAGTTCAAGACCAGCCTGGGCTACAAAGTGAGCTCAAGGCCAGCCTGAACTGTACAGCGAGACTCTGTCACCAAAAAACAAACAAACAGAACCTATCCTTCAGGATTAAAAGGCCCTACCAGACTCTTTCATCCAAACTTCTTACTTTAGAGATGTACAAAGAAAGATCTAGGATCCCACATAGCCAATGCCGAAAGACACTGTTCTATATACAATTACACTCTGTAAACAGACCTATAAAGAACACTAATTATTTTCCCCAGTCCAGTGTAAGACACTGGACAATTCTCCACATTTGTCTGAGGTCCTGATCTGTGGGGATAGCTTCTTCTAAAACACAAGCACTTGAATGGTGCCACGAGGAAGATGATTAGGTGAACTGGTAAGAATTCCCACGAGGAAGAGTCCTGGCTAGCAGCACAGTCAGCCAGATCCAGGCTCCCCCCTCATCCCCTCTGATGGAGTTGACAATAAGTATTGGAGCCGGTTTCCCTGGGGCTTCCACTCCCATGGCCCCCCTAACACTCAGGAAACAAGACAGAAATCATCGCGATTTAGTTATGGTGGCATCGCAAAAAAAATGCATACAGGCCCTCTTGGGAGAAGCCACATGATTTCCAGCTTGCCCATCTAGCTCGCTGGGTAATGAAAGCCCCTCCAGCCCCCCTGAAGCCACTACTGTCCCTGTGCCCTCAATTAGCACCAGACAAATACATCCTTCAACCCTGTTCTTGGCCTGGAGCTCGCTCTGACGTCCATGCTGGCACTCACAGCTCAGCTCTTCCCCCACACCCTCTGCACAGTGAGTCCCTGAGCAACCAGGTCAGAGGCAGCCGTGGAGATTGGGGACCGGCAGATGGACACCAAGCAGCTCTGGGTTTCCCTAGCTCTGGGTCCACCCATCAAGGTAACAATGCATCGCCTCCCACTAATTCCCAAAGTTCCCCCAACATTATCAGACACAACCTCCCCAAGGAACAGCAATAGAATCCCATATACTTCTCTTTTTTGTTTTTATTTTTTGTGGAAATGGGGATTGAACTCAGGCCCTTGCTCTTGCCAGGCAAGCGCTTATTCTACTGAGCCATCTCCCTGGCAACACCCCCCCCCCCATACACTTCTGTTCTTTAACTGCAAACCACAACTGACCAAGTCCCTGGCAGGTGCTCAGAAAATAAACAAAGGGAAAACGTTAAATGTGCCACCATGGACAACAACACTGTTCTAGAAAAGGCCACTTGGCTTAGGACTCAAAGCTTTACCTGAAAAACAATGTATTAGGCTCAGAGTGTTAGGACCAAGGGGAACTTGGGGCTCCCTCTCCACTTCCAACAGCACTTCATTTCCCATGTACCCTCCAAAAAGGTGGGGTTGGGGCTGAGGAAATGGCTCAGTAGATTAAGTGCTTCCCTGGCAAGCCCAAGGATCTGAGTTCAATCCCCGGTTCCGCCAAAACGAAACAAAAAGGTGGGGTCATCAGCTGTACTCCCAGGGAGGAGTGGGAGCTGCCACAGCCACGAATAAAGGGTAGAGTAACTCTAAGAAAACTAAAGTCATGCCCTCCACCCCCAGCACCCTTGCACTGAGCTACACTTCTAAACTCCCTTTTGTTTTTTTGGAGACAGGGTCTTGCTAAATTTCTATAATGCCGACACTGGGCTTGAATTTGTAATCCTCCTGCCTCAGCCTCCCAGAGCATTGAGACCAGTGTGTGCCAACACAGTCAGCAGATGAAGCACTTCTTAGATGAACAGTTTGACAGTTCTTTGGCCAGGTGATTAAAGTTTACAAAGGCCAGGTGTGATGGTGCACACCTATAAAACCAGTACTTGGGAGGCTAAGACAGGAAGATTGAGAGTTTGAGGCCAGCCAGTGTGGTACATAATGAGTTCAAGACCAGCCTAAACTACACAGCAAGACCATGTCTCACAAAAAAAAAGAAAGAAAAAAGAAGTTTATAAAGGTCTTTCAGCCAGGCAGGGTGCAGCATACCAGTGATCCCAGACAGGACTCAGGAGGCTGACGCATGATCACAAGTTCAAGGTCAGCATGGACTACATATTGAATTGAAGGCCAGCATAACTATATAGTGAGACACTTGTCTCAAAAAAAATCAAAGGACTCTCACACATAATTGTAAAAAGGTCTGGGAGGTATGCAGTAACATCTTCATCTATTGATAAAGACAGTCTTTGAGAGACAAGGTGACTCAGTAGGGAATAAAACTGGGACAAACCCAGGTAGGGAGCAAGGCAGTCTCAGCAGAGGCTGAGGCAGGATCAGAGGTCAGCGCGGCCTCGAGGCTCCTGCTTTCAGAGCAGAAACAGGGGGATGTTCTGTCCAAGTAAGACCCACAAAGGGCACATGGTTATGGTTTAGATGTGAGATGTCCCCCTAAAAGACTCATGGTTTGGAAGGCGATTAGATCATGAGAGCTCTATGCTCATCAGGGGATTCCTCCAAGAATGAGGTTACAGCTGAACATGCAATTGCAGAGTGGGGCCAGGTTGGAAGATGAGACCCTGTGGAAGTCACTGGACGTGTGACTGGAAGGGTGTGTCTCCCTCCCAGGCTCGCTCTCCCACACATACGTCTTGGCCTCCACACCTCGAGCAAGCAGCTTTTCCCTGGTTATGCCCCTCTGCCGTGCTGTTTCTGCTCTGAAGCCTGCTGGGCATGGCTGTGACTGTGAGCCCAAATAAGCCTCTCCTTAAGCTGTGGATGTTGAGTATTGTGCCTTTTTGATGAGGAAAGTGATTAACACAGCAAAGAGGGGCCAGGGAGATGGCTCAGTGGAATAAGCACTTCCCTGGCAAGCGCAAGGGCCTGAGTTCAATCCCCGGTTCCACAAAAACAAAACAAAACAAAACACAGCAAAGATGCTTCCTGAACTAACATACTTCTGTCTTTACTCCCCAGGATTCCACCAACTCTGATCCTTGACATCTTGTGAGAAAGGCAGGCAGCAATATTCCTGGGAAACCATCAAAGAGATATGTGCTTTCACCATTCATAACATGCCAATCATACAAAAGGCAGAGCTGGAATGAAAGTCCAAGTCCCTGACCCTCCTCCCTGGAAGCTTGCAGTCATTAGAAAGATGGATTCTGGGCCCTAAACTGTGTTCATTAAGCCTGAAGGTTATTATGTGATAGAGCAGCAGGACAAGGAGTAGGGGATACGATTTGTGCACCCTACCAAGTCTGTTCGTTTCAGACCAACAGTACTCAGAAGTTTGTCCTCTGTCCACGTGATCAGGGCCCCTGGATCTACAGTAACTCCAGATGGTCTGAGTCTTCATTCAATCAAAGAGTAAGGCCTACATTTCTGACCCAAGTGACCCTTTGAGCAGGAAGAACTCAGATGTTCAGATGCCTCACCCTACCTTCCCCAACCAAGAGCTCAAACACTATCAAACCATCTCAGCTCCCTTGGAGACCACCTGGACACAGTTGATCGGAATTTCCTAGGGTTTTGGCTCCCCTCTGGTGTTTTGATTTGAAAGTTGGGGCCTATAGACATATAATGCCTGAAGTTTTGATGGGGCAGGGCAAAAGGCTGCTGGACAGTGATGCCCCAATGCCAGGCTGGGCATGGAGCCCAGCAAGTAGACACTGGCGCAAATGTGACATCATGCCCCTGGGTAGATGCCAGTTCTCATGCCGTCACTCTCCACCTGATCAAGGGGCGGGGGAGGGAAGCCTTCCTCCTCTAGGCACAGACCTACTTGCCCAATAATTGAAAAGCCCCACTTATACACTTCCGAGGTCCGAGGCATAAGTGGAGGCAAGGTCCCTATTTCCCCTATTTTGATTCTCCACTGGCTTTTTATGGGATTTTGCTGTTTTGTTACAGGAACTTACTATGTGGTCTAAGCTGGCCCTGAACTATCAATTTCCCTGCCTGAGGCTCCCTATGCTTGCGCTCTTGACCAGCTTTGTAGAGTCTTATGTGGCTTGACAGAAAGAAAATAAAGTGTCAACAGAAGATAGGGGACCGGGGGCAGAAAGTGACTTTTTGGAATGAAGACAGAAGTGTGCCCTTGCGCACAGGAGGCTGGTTTTGCAGCGAGAAATGGTCACCAGTGTGGGGCAGCAGTGCTGCTGACCCCAAAGCCTCCACCATTAGCTACCTTTTTGGCTGCAGTAGGGGCTTGACCTGGCCCAGGGCACAAGGGGAGCTGAAACCCAGCTGTGAAAGAGCACAACCTCTGGATGGGCCTGAGTGTTCTGGCTACTCCTACTTTTAACTTGTCCTAGTGCCAGAAAACAAAGTAAAATGAATGGCTCTGCAGTTTGACAGTTTCTCAAATCAGACCAGACTGGGGACTGTGCTCAGCATGTTGGGGCCGCAACAGTCTCAGTGTAAAGTGCAGGGCAGGGCTGTGGCTGGTAACCCAGGTTTGAATGACCAAGTGAGAATTCAGTTTCTTTTTCAGTAACATCAGGGGCTGGACTGGGTGGTCTCAAAGGCCTGCTGACTTCTCATATCCTGGCTTACCTCAGACTCCAGAGAAATCAATGACTGCAGGAGCTTAGCTGCTCCTATGGTAGGATCAAGGTGGCCTAAGATAGAGGGAACTGGGCTCTGAGCCCACTGGAGACTGGAAGGGGCCTGGAGAAAGGAAGAGATAAGGCTGACTCAGGCTTTGCAGAACACACAGCCAACCTTTCCCCAGCTGCCCTGTTCCTGACTCTGGTCTGGTCAAAACTGGTGTATTACACATTTCTACCCAACCATTTCAGATCTCAATTAACCTACATCTTGCTCCAGTCATTACTGCAGTTCAACATGATAGATCCTTGCTTCACGCTATGCCAGACCCGGGGCCTCACACTTGTGCAGTCTGGCCCTGGAGTGAAACTTTGGCTAAGGTGGCTCAGGGGCTGATGGATTCTCTTTTTTCCAGAAATGACTATTTTATCCAGACTGTCCTAAAAAATATTTCAAATAAGTTCTTAGTCAGTTCCAAGGGCCTGAGCAACCAGCAGCCTCTGTGGGATTATTTCCTACTCCCTAACTGAGTACCTGCATATAAACTTTATGTTCTGCTTTTTTAGGGGGTGGGGGAAGAAAAAGTACTCAAACAAAACCAATGCTGAGATACTTATACATGCTCAGATTTATGGTAAGTGGAACAAAACTAACCTAAACACCACTATAAAAGTAACTTTTGCCAGGGAGATAGCTCAGTAGAATAAGTGCTTGCCTGGCAATTGCAAGGTCCTGAGTTCAATCCCCCATACTGAAAGAAAATAAAAAAGTAACTTTTTGACCCATATAGTAAAGCACGCCTGTAATCCCTGCACTCTGGAGCTGAGGTGGTAGGATCACTTCAGTTCAAGACTGGGATACAGGGCCGGCCAGATAGCTCAGTGGACTAAAGCACCTTAGGCAGACACAGGAACCAAGTTCAATCCCCATCGTACCATGTTGGCCCCACCCCCAGGGCGTGCTGAGACAGCAATTGAGACTGGGAGTGGTGGTGTGTGCCTGTAATCCCAGCACTGGGGAGGCTGAAGACAGGAGGATCACTATGAGTCTGATCTGTGCAGTAAGACCCTGTAGACTCTGTACTAAATACATTTAAAAAAAAAAAAAAATGACTGGGATACAAAGTGAGCTAAAAACGGAACTTAGAAAAAATGGGGTATATCGATGAATGTCAATTTTGTATCTGTGTATTCAAAGTGGTTAGGATAGATATATAGTTGCATTCTCTTTTTTTTTTTTTTTTTTTTATTTATTTGAGAGAGAGAGAGAGAGAGAGAGAGAGAGAGAGAGAGAGAGAGAGAGAGTGGTGTGTGTGTGTGGCCAGCTCAGCCCACCAGGGGGCGGGGCTGGCTGGCATGTGGTGCTGGGGGATTGAACCGCGGTCCCTGATGCTTTGCCAAGCTTGTTCTAAGTAGGTGCCTTAGACCACTGAGCCATCTCTCCAGCCCCATGCATTCTCTTAATGAATAGAATGATTTGTTCTAATGGTGTTTGTAAATAGGATCACAAGTCCGCATCTTGTACAGCAATTAACCACTAAGAAGAATATATGCAGTGTATTATTTGTTGAAACTGTACTTCCGATTTGATTTGAAACTGTCTCATTGCTATCTGTTTATCAATAAAATTTTGAAAAAAAAAAAAGTGAGCTCAAAGCCAGTCTGAACTGCTTAGCGAGACCTTTTCTCAAACAACAAAACAAACGAACAAAAAAACCTTGTTGGGGCCAGGGAGATGGCTCAGTAGAATAAGTGCTTCCCTGACAAGCGCAAGGGCCTGAGTTCAATTCCCATTTCTTCTAAAAACAAACAAACAACCCAAAAAATCTTGTTATGTCTGAGTTGCTAATAAACATAGAAAGGACCAACCTCTTGAGCTTCTAAGTTTATTATGCATTTAAAAATCAGCCCTGGGCCGGGGAGATGGCTCAGTGGAATAAGCGCTTCCCTGGCAAGCTCAAGGGTCTGAGTTCAATCCCCGGTTCTGAAAAAAAAAAAAAAAAAAAAAAAATCAGCCCTACGCTGATCCTGTGAGGTCATATAACTTAATTCTAAATGAAGACACTAAAGTTCAAAGAGGTTTTTTGACTTGTACAAAGACAGCTATTTAGTGTTATAGTTCTGAGATTTAAATCTTGGTCTTCTATCTCCAATTCTGAAATTTCTACTTTCTAGGGTGATGAGTGCTCCCATGTGATCACAGCAACTATTGTGCTGGGGCCTAAACCTACTGTGCTAAATTCACTTCCTCCCTTAGTTTATAATTTGGTCTAAATACACTCAGTAGCAGGGAAGGAAAATTATGAAAGGATTGGTAAGTCTTCCAAAGTGCTAGGAGGCCACAGATTGCTCCACAGCTATGCTGGGTTGAGCACAGCCTCAGGAAGACAGAGTATGGAGCTACAGGACTCTAGCAGGGAAAGACTGTAACTCCAGTTCAGCCACCTGTCTGCAACTGAGCCCCCTTGGAGCTTTATTTCCTGCCTGTGTGAGCTGCAGATCCCTAGGTAGGGAAATACAAGAACTATTCTTCCCTTTCTGTTCTTATGGCCACAAGGGGAATCTTTATCTGGCAGTTGTGGGCCCTGAGGGAATCAGAGGCTGGGCAAATTCCCAGCGTGTCAGTTCCCATCACAGCCACATAGTCCAGCATGAGTCACCACACACACAGCCAGGTGAGTCATGCAGGCTGATGGACATTCTGAGGACAGGACAGAAGGTGTTAGGTCACAGGAGGTTGAAAAGGGGTCCACCGAGGAGCAAAAGAGTCCATCTCCTGGCCAGCTATGCAGGAGGAAGTTTCTAGTGCTGATGCAGGGTTATCCCAGTAACAGGAAGTCTGGTCCACCCTGGCTTTCAGTGGCTCCTCAGCACTTCCAACATCTCTTCTCCAAAGTCCACAATCCTCATTAGAATACTGTTTTCTTCCTCTAAACACAAGCAAGATGTCATCATAAACTAATCACTTTTGGCACTACCACCATTATAGGCCTTCTGATCCTTCCCGCCACAAAACTTACTTTTGCATCATCTCCTACATCTTACCTTTTAGCATGGTTAAAAAAAAAAAAGGCAGGGCTGAGGATACCGCTCAGCAGCACAAGCACCTGCCTGGCAAGTGCAAGGTCTGAGTATGATTTCTAGTACAGAAAAAGAAAAGCAGAAAAATCTCTAGGTTACCTCTGTGAGGTTGCTACTTGATCACTGGATCTGTTCCTTCTTTTTCTTTTTTTAAAAATATTTTTTATTCATTTTAATGAGAAAAAAGAAAATAGCAATGAAACAGTTTCAAAACAGGTTAGTAGGATGTTTACAATAATTAATACATTGCATATTGTTGTCTTCGTTGATCACTGGATTTGGAGTAAAAATTCTTAGTATATTATTTAGGGATATACATATGACTAATAAACTGTAAAAAATGCAAAAACAAAACAAAAAACAATATAAACAAAATTCTGGAAAGCAGTCATCTCTTAGAACATGTGACCTAGGAACAGGTGTTCAAGGGGTTCCAAAGCTGGAGACTTATACAGAAATGCTCAGTTTAAGGGCCAGCCAAATAGCTCAGCACAGTAAAGCACCTGCAAGCACAGGCTGGGGGTTTAATCTCTAGGCCTGTCTTTCCGGCCCCGCTCCCGTGGCCTGCTGAGATGGCAATTGAGACTGGGCATGGTGGCACACGCCTTGTAATCCCAGCTCATGGAAGGCTGTAAACAGGCAGATCACTACTGGTCCGATCTAGTAGTGAGATCCTGAACACCCTGTAGACCCTGCCCTAAAATTAAAAAAAAAAAAAAAAAGCGCCCAGTTTAAACTGCAAATACATGTCTTTATTTTATCATCATCATCATCATCATCATCATCATCATCATCATCATCATCATTTGTCTATTTCTGCGTGTAAAATACAAAAATATCTGGAGAGTCTTGAATGTGGCACTTATCAGGTGTGTGCACCAACGTAGAATCACGTAACTGTAATACACAGATCTTTGTGTGCCACTTGTCACAAAACGTATATGAGAGTGCTTTGAATACCATAAAAATGTTAGAGTAGCCTTTTGTTAGTTTTCCAAGTTGGGTCCTCCTGGGCAATGCCTTTAAGAATGGACTGCTCAGTTTTTTATCATAGCTAAGCCAACTATGCATATTAATTAAAATAGTCTTTGAGACTCATCCTCCAAAACAGAGCAGCCTGGGATGAGACAATTGTTCCAGGGGCTAAACACAAGAAGGAAATGACAGAGGTGCCATAAAGTGTGCCTCTGCCTTCCAATTCCGCCTGCTCTGGTCCCAAAAGGGCACTCACCAGCCGTCAGGACCTGGACTTTCCACGGATGAGCAGCCAAGGCCCGCTGGTATGCCCGCCAGAGTGCCATGCCTCCTGTCAAACCAAGAGGAGAGGGTCACTGACACTGCCCTACCAGCAATGAAGGATGCCTGCCATTCCCTTGTGCCCATTCCCTCTCTTAATATGTCTAACAGAGACCTTACGAGGGATCCTTTCTAAAAAGCTCCCTGTCACAGGGTCACCTTAGACAACTGGGAAAGGGAGCCCTATGCGCAGCTATGGACTGTCGGTGGCAGCCAGCCCGTGACCCCAGTCATGAAGCAGGATGCCCAGAGACCTCTCCTGTCGGGTCGAGACATCCACGCGGTCATGAATATTCCTATTTTCAGTCAGGGCCTGGGCCCTCAGATTCACACTTTAGTTGGAACTCGCTCATAACCTTTCTGAGCACAACTCGACACTGGAAACAAGGGGCCCCGAAAGATCACACTCGCCACTCTCCGCGCAGCACCAGCCACCCACCCGAGCTCAGCGCCGCAGAGCAGGGCTCACCTGACCCGAGGGCCTGAGACTTCCGCTGAAAGCCCCGCCCCTTCCGCCCGCGACCCTAGGTCCCTTTCCGTCTGGTCCTGAATTAACCTTAACTGAGGCGTTGTTTCCAGTGGAAGGCAGCCCAGTTTAGTCACCCTCTCTGAGCGGCCTCCTCTTCCACTGCGAGCGCACCACGCCTTGAGGTGCTGCCGCAGCCCACCTCTGCCTCCTGTCCCGGAGCGTTCAGCCTCTCAACCAGGAGAACCCCTGTTCCGGTACACCGCGACCCCCAGAAATAAGGTCCTGACCTTCACCAGCTCAAGTCCTGCATCCTTAGGGGTTGTGGTTGTTCGGTGCATGCTCGTGTTTTTTGTCTCTAGGTCATTTCCAGTCCTCAATTATGAGTACTTGTTTACGTTTCTTCTCTTAAATGCTGCATAATAACTTCTATGGAAAGCATTTGAATAACATAACCTCGGCGTTCAGGCGTTGACCCTGTAACTATGGGTATCCTTGTTCACCACTAGACTCAAACTAGTGAAAGGAAGGAGTCTGCACTCCCCCCTACCCCCAACTGGAGTCCTCAATTCTAGAGGATATTTATGGGAAAGGAGCCATAAGGGACAGGGTCTTCTATCTCTCCCGGCCCCTATCTCAAATATTTTTTAAAAACAAACTTCTACCAAAAAAAATAAAAAAGGGGGGCGGGGAGATGGCTCAGTGGAATAAGCGCTTCCCTGGCAAGCACAAGGGCCTTTGTTCAACCCCCGGTTCCGCAAAATAAATACTTCTAAGCTGGGTATGAATTTTTTTTCAATGGGTATGAATTTTATGAGGCTAAGCCCAATAAATTTAGCCAGGCCCAGTTTCTAAATACTTGAAAAGGGACCAAGGATACAGCTCAGTATGAAGGCCCTAAATTTAATCCCCACTACCACAAATAATGCACTTCCAGAACGAGCCTTTTCCCCTGCACTTGAGACAGGGACTTGCCATGTAGCCCAGGCTGGCCTTCAACTCAGTGACCTTCCTGCCTCAGCCTCTGGAGTGATAGGATTACAAATGTATGCTAACATGCCCAGCTAGAGTCATTTTATGACGATGGGGCCAGAACTGTTTGAGAGGTAGCAGACTAGGTGATCTCTTCTACCTCTTCCAGCTCTAGTATCCATAGTAAATGTCTTTCCTAGGATGATGCAAAATTGTACAGTATCCTTGGTCACAAATTTATCAGGCTGGCAGACTTTGCTTATTTCAAGGAGTCCATACCTTGGGGCACTTTCAGGCTTTCCAGCACCCGTTTACTCAATTCATGTATGATTAAGGCAGTGTAAGGGCTAAAAGCCTGTCACAAATACTGGAGAAATAGTAAGGGTGCAAAAATTCAATGTATTATTTAAGAGATCTCTTGCAAAACACCATGCTAGAGGAGTGAACTTAAGGCCCTAGTAAAGGCCTTATGTGGTAAGCTGAAGTTACATTCTGAAGCCAGATGGTCAGGACCCAATTCGAGCACTAATACCTCCTTATGTGATCTTGTCCAGCTTGTTTCATCTCTCAATCTAATCTTTTATCATTTAAGTAAAACAGCAGCATCTACCCTTGTAGAACTAAGAAATACATGCAAAGTACCTAAAGTGGATCAATACTATATAAAATGTCTATTTGTCCTCCCTCCCCACATAGGAACACGGGGTTTTCAACAAAGCGATCACTCAAAGTGGGCTTAAAGGTGGATTTAAAAAAAAAAAAAATGGAGGGGTAGTCTAGGGATTAAATGCAGGATCTTATGCCTGCTAGGTACTGTATGTGCTTTACCAGTTATACACGTCTTGAGCAAACTATGAATAGAATGTGTGAAGTTGGTGGAAAAAGACAGTTCTGAAAAAGGCAAGAGTGTGAGCAAGGGCAAAAAGGTTCAAAAGTGCAGGAACCAAGAGCATATACTGTAAAGAAGGGTTAGAAGTTAAATGGCCCAGGGAAAAAAAGGTTTATGGGAAAAAGGAACAGCTGAAAGATCATGTTTTTGTTGTTTTTTGTATTTTTAGGAAAGGCTCTACAGGTCTACGGGGTGTTCGGGGTCTCACTACTAAATCAGATTCGTAGTGATCCACCTGTTTACAGCCTCCCAAGAGTTGTGATGACAGTTGTGTGCCACCACACCCCATCTCAATTGCCTCAGCAAGCCCCAGGGATTGAACCCCCGGCCCCTGTTCCTGATTAGAGGTGCTTTAACCCACTGAGCTCTTTGGCCAGCCCCATTACGTTTTTCTTTTGGAGGCTGAGATTAAGGCTGGTTCAACAGGAAGAACAGTGCACCCAAGAACCTACAGCCTCAACTCACAGCTCATAGGTCTTTTCCAGCCCTGGAAAAGGGACTACTCAAGCAAAACTCTGTAGAAGGCACTCAGCTATCAGCTCAAAAAGCAAAACTGGTGGCATCTGCCTGTAATCCCAGCAATCTGGGAAGCTGAAACTGTATAGCAAATTCAAGCCCCACCTGAGCAGTTTAGCAATTCAGGCAGACCCCCCAAAAATTTAAAGAATGTTAAGGGACTAGACATATAACTCAAGTGAGATGGGGTAGACTAAACAAAACTGGTATAACCTAAATTAGATCACATGGGGATCGTACAATACTTGGCTTCTCTACACATACATGGGTTATGGTCTCTGCTAATCGACCTGGGCTCCCTCCTGATGTTTCCTCTTCTGTACAGGAAGGTTCTCTTCAAGATTTTTGACACTGAATGTATTGCCTATAGTAGTTAAGCAGAAAAAAGCTATTCCCAGATATAGGACCAGTGTGGGATGTCAAAGGGCTTCACTTCTGGCAGGCAGTAAACTAACCTCTGCTCCCTCCAACAGAGCTGGTTTCTTCTCTTTCCTGTTTCTTAAAAGTTGTTCAACTACTTCCCTGTACACCCAACCCCAGCCCCAGCCTGTATTCCTATACATCCTAAGGTCTGTTTCTCCTAGCTGGGGTCTGTTTGTGTTTAGGCAGTATCATAGGTACTGTTGAGTGCAGCATCCCACAGGAGAACTTTATCAAGGTAACAACACGGTGTACTTGGGATCTAAATGCTTGCTGTAGAGTTTAAATAAACATGTAAAATAAGTCAACAGTGTGACCATATCATGAAGGATCAAAAATCATGACGTGTGAAAGTATGGTTCAAATAACTGAAGATATTTAATCTAAAGGAAAAAGAAGACTGAAAACACATGATAGCTTTTGTTACTTAAAAGGGCAATCACAAGGAAGAATAACTAAATGTCCTATCACCCATGAGTAAAATTAATAGATACTCTGGCTTGCTATAAAGGAAGATTTTAAAAATATGACTGTCTAGGAGTGTTCAAGTAGGGTCAAATGACCAGTGATTGGGAATATTTCATAAGCAGGAGCAAGTAAGAGCTAAGCTACTATTCTACTGATAGGGTGTTTGTGGTATCCCTCAGTTAAACAAGTACTAGAACAGCTTCAGTCCAACAATTCCCCAGTGGGCCTGTGTATTGATTACTGTAAAGAAGTAGTTTGGAAAGGCAGTAACATTGTATCCTGGAAAACAGTCAGACAGGTGCCTTCATGTGGATACTCTGTGATTAGCCAAACACCCACTCACAAGTGGTCTCAAAAACACCCAGTACCTTTACTTAGCTTTACCCACTTAACAACTGCTCAATATGAGCCATTTGACTCCCAAGCCTAGGTCTGGCCTGAGTGTTTCTCGTGAGCAATAGTATTAGGCTGAGGAGCCTTTGTGGAGGGAGAGCCCCCCTGCCCGCAGGGGGCTGTGACCATAGAAGTCTATGGAAAGAGGAGAATCTAAGGAATCCTGGGGCGGAAGGCCTAAAGGTCCAGGCTTGGCACCACGCTGTCCAAGAAGGCCCTAGTTCTTATGGCTCTGTGGATGGTGCCATTTGTTCTTGGCAGACTTCATTCCAAGGGTCCCATGTGGACCAAGACTAGGGATTGGACAGAAGGTGATGGCTGGCTGGAGAGAAGCCAGGGCCTTTAGTTGGGGAGGATGGTTGGAACATAGCACTGAAGTGGGCTTGACTTTCAAGCTGCATACGGTGACCCAGTGGGGAGGTGAGTCCACGGACGAAATGGATCCGAACCAGCCCTGACTGCCCCCCAGAGACCAGCCATCCATAGGAGTCCAGGTTTGGGCTGAAACGTACCTATGAAAATAAAAAGCAAAAGAGTGAAGGCCGTGAGTTCAATATCCAGTGATGGAAAAAGAAAAAGAAAAAAAATAAAAAGTAAAATAAAAAGAGACAGTGGTGTTTAGGGCAATTCTTAAACAAAAAACAGACAACCAACCAAACAGGTTACAATGCAGGAAGACAGGATCATGATGGGGTGAGAAAAGTAGGAAAAAGAAGGCAATGAACGAGGTGTAGTTATCATGCTCCTTAGCCATCTATTTTCCCTTTTCATCTTCTATTTCATTGATCACAGACCTAAAACTAGGGGAAATGAGCAGAGGTGGAGTTGAGTGACCATCTTCTGAGGTGGAGAAGATTCTTACCTTATGAATAGCCTCGAGCTGCAGCCTGTCCAGGCAGAGCTGAGAATGTCCTTCTCCCTCCTGCATGCGCAGCATGGGTTCTCTATGGAGCAGATTGTGGAAGGAACCCTGGGAGAAGTAGAATAGGACAGAAGCAAACAATTCCTTAGTTTTGTATCTTTATATGGAAATTCTAAGGATTCCCTACTCTATAAGCCCTAAACTTTTCTTTTTTTTTGGGGGGGGGGGGAAGCGCGGAACCAGGGATTGAACTCAGGCCCTTGCACTTGCTAGGGAAGCATTTATTCTACTGAGCCATCTCCCTGGCCCCAGGGTTAAAGTTTTCTACCTTTGCTAATGTTAGGCTCATTCTTCTGGCCTCAACTTACCAGATCTGTGTCTTGAAAGAGCAAGTAATGATGGTTGACAGTTTCAGCGTAAGTTCGAGCCTTGGGAGGATTAGGGATCCCAGATGAAGCAGAGCAAAGATCTTGATCTTCGGGACTGTCCTGATATGGGACCAGATCTGCCTTATATATAGGCTAGAAAGGAGATCATGAGATTAGATTTTATAATACTGAACACAAAATAAAAGCAGAGAGGAAATATTTGGGGCAGGAAAGTCTTAACAGTGGAAGAAAGCAGTATATTTCAATATGTGCTCAGTTGCAGTAGGGTAGGGATGATTATACATAATTCTGTGTCAAGGTGATATCAGGGCTGGGAGACCGAGTACTAATTTGTACTCTACCAGGAGCTGGGAAGGGATGTAGATTAGGATCCGACAGATGGTGCAGCCGTTAGATGTTCATATACGTACGAATCTTCGCTCTGCTGGTCGCTTGACATTTATTGGGTTCGATGCCATATCAGGCAATATAGCTGCAATGAGCTCCCCAGATATATCTCCTGCAGCTATTGTCCCAAGCCAGTCAGATCCTGAAAGACTCTAATAGGAAGAGACATATTTCATTCATTTGTTCATTCATTTTCTGTGAACTGACGACTGCACAGTTTTGAGGGAGTAGTATACAAACACACACGAGTTTATCAGTTTGGCATAGTGGCACACACTTAAAACTTTAGCATTCTATTTTAATTAACATTTATTTATTTATATGTGTGTGTGTGTGTGTGGCCAGCTCAGCCCACCAGGGGGCAGGGCTGGCTGGCATGTGGTGCTGGGGATTGAACTGTGGTCGCTGTGCCTGTGCTTTGTGAAGTTTGTTCCAAGTAGGTGCTTTAGACCACTGAGCCATCTCACCAGCCCCAACTTTAGCATTCTGGAGGCTGAGGCCAGAAAATCGCAAGTCTGAGCCCAGCTCAGGAAACTCAATAAAACTCAACAAGCCCTGTCTCAAAAAAAAAAAAAAAAGTGAATGCAAAGGCCCTAAGTTCGATTCCCAGTTTCATTTAAAAAAAAAAAAAAAAAAAAAAGTTGATTATAACCATGTCCTTGCTGATACAGTTACCATGTATCATCATTTTCTTCTCCTATCTAAACCGTCTGACTACCACTAGGGGGTAAAATGACCATTTTCCTGTGTAACAAAGACTGGAAGGGAGGTACTCACCCAGACAGTGCCTTTTCGAGGAGCAGTGAAATAGGCCTTGAAACCAAGGTAACCAGCATCAATATAATGAATTCCACAGAGACCATAACTGTATAAAAAAAAAAGAGAAATAAAAATAAAATTTTATTTTATTTTTTTTTGGTGGAACCAGGGAAGCACTTATTCCACTGAGCCATCTCCCTGGCCCCTATAAAATTGTATTTTAAGGGGGGGAATATAAAAAAAAAAAAATTATTTTAAGATTTGTTAAGATTCATTTTGTTTCCTCAGGTCCTTCCAGAATTCACACTACTTCAGTGAGCCAACTCAACCCTTCTCCCCCCACAGCCATCTGGCATACTTGTATCCCAACCCTTAGGGCCTGTCCCCAGAACTCTTAGCTCCATCTTGCCGTACGAGGCATAGCAGTTGTCTTGAGCCACAGTGACACCATTGTAGGGTAGCAGCCAGGCTAGTTCTGTACTCAAGAAGCGCTTGATAGAGTTTATTGGTTCATAAGGTCGCCGAAGATCCCAGAATTTGATTTTCCGGTCACTCCCCGCAGAGACTAGGAAATGGCTAAAAATATGGGAATATATCCAATTTGAACCAATGTGGACGAAGAGTCAAGCCTTTTCCCATCTCCACACTCCCACCACAGATCTCCTACTCCATACCTGTTAGCTTTGCACCACTGAAGTGTACGCACCGCCTGGTCATGGGCTAGGAAACACTGGAAGGGGTAGAGCTTTAAGGAGCCATCAGGAAGCCGTATCCGCAGTAGTGGTGAATTCGTAGGAAGGTTCCAGAAAACCACCATGCCTATGGTAGGGGTGGGATACGTAGGCTTTAAAGGGAGGGGTTTTTTGTTTTTTAAACTCAGTGAGCCTCCAGCCTCACCCTCCAGAATGTTGGGATTACAGGAATGTGCCACTTCACCCAGCCTTAAAGGCAGGTTGTTTTTACTTTTTATTCTGATTTCTTTCTCTGGGTTCCTAGGATCTTTGTCTTCTAGTGGTAGGTCCAAATTACAATAAAATAAGAATGTGGGGCTCACAATGAACTGCTTAATACTACTTCCACATTGTAAAGACTCAACCTGATATTCTAGTCCCAATTTTCATGAACAAAAAGTAACAGCTTAACCTGAGATATGCAGTTGAAAGATGAGAAGCTGAGTGTACCTAGTAACTTCTACTCCATCAAAATAAAGATATTTTTAAAAAATCAAGACCTTTTAAAACAAGAGTTGACAATGCATGTACCAAACTAGCTGCTACCTGTTTTTGTAAACAGTTTTATTAGAACAGTCACACCAGTTTGTTTACTCCATGTCTAGGACTGATTCCACATTAAAATGGCAAAACTGAGTGGTTCCAACAATGGCCAGATACCCACAAAGTCTAAAATTATTACTATTTGGGTCCTTATAGAAAATGTCTGCTAACTTTGCTGTAAGACAAGGACAACAAGCAAGGAGCCAAAAGCAAGGAGGAGAAGAAAACAAACAGAAACTAATTTGGCAGAATGCAAATATGAGTACCTACTCAAAAGTGTAACTCTGATAAAACAAAAAACAATTACAAAATCTTTAAAATAATAGCCAGGAAAATATTTGTAGCTAAAATACCTTTTATACCTAAACTCAGGGAATATAGTACCTATAATCTTTCTCAAAAAACTTGTCCACAATAATACAGGTAATTAATAAAAATATAGTAATTCAGTAATGGAGGAGAAACTAAGATAAGAGGACTAGGGGAGACCCTCATTAAATCACCACAAGCATTAAAAAGAGCAGGATAGCATCAAAAAGACAGACAAAGGCTGGATGTGATGGTGCAAGGCTGTAACCCTGCACATTGCAGGCTAACTGCATACACAGCAAGTCTGTCAACTATAACAAAACAAAGCAAAGCAAAAATAAAAGACACTAACCAAGCAAACACACAATCAAAAAAAATCACATGAGAGGAAAGGTAAGAGTGATAATTTCCTTATCTTCTAGCAAAAAGTCTGATAATGTCTAAAAATCCAACTGTCATTTAAAAAAGTAATTTCAACTGCTTTATATTGTTTATTATCTTTATCTTTTTAAATCTTTTTTTTGTATGTAGTTCAGGATGACTCTGACTTCACTATATAGCCCAAGCTGGTCCTAGGATTATAGGTAGGATTATAGACATGTGGCACCATACCAGCTTTCTAATCTTCAAAGTTTCTTTTTTGCTTTTTCCATAATTTTATTGAAAAACAAATAGCAATGAGACAGTTTCAAATAAACTTGGTAGAACAGTTTCAATAATTAACACATTGTATACATTCTTCCTAGTGGTTATTTGCTATATAAGATGCTTCAGTTTCCTTGAGAATATGTCTTTTATATATGCCTAGAGAACAGTCTCAATGAACTTACATTCATCACTCAATTTTTTTGAGGAAAAAAATTCCAGTGGCTTTTTTTTTTTGCGGAACCAGGGATTGAACTCAGGCCCTTGTGCTTGCCAGGCAAGTACTTATTCTACTGAGCTATCTCCCCAGCCCTCCAGTGGCTTTTAAAAAAAATCTTTTTATGTATTTGGTACAGGGTCAGTTTCATAGTGATCTTCCCATCTCAGCCTCCTCAGCGCTGGGATTACAGGCATGTGTTACCACACCCAGTTTCGACTGACTGTTTCTTTTCTACATTGTTAAGAGTATTTATACTTACGTATGTCAAGTTCTGAACCAAAAAAGGAAAGAACAAAAAAAAGTATATAAATTAGCTGAGTGTGGTGTCACATGCCTGTAATCCCAGCACTTGGAGGCTGAGGCAGGAGAATTGTTTATGAGTTTGAGACCAGTCTGGGATACAAAAGTGAGCTGAAGGCCAGCCTGAGACGCACAGTGGGACCCGGGGGGGGGGGGGGGAGGGCAGAGACACAGAGAGAGAGACAGAGAACGGAAGGGCAGGCAAGCTTTTTAGCAGGATAATATAAAACAAGTTTAAAAAGCAGTAACTCTGACTTATTTTGCTTTTTACCATTGTAGTATCCAGCAGCCAGGTGGTGGTGGGGCCTGGTAGGCATCCAGGCCAGGCTAAGGCACTGACCACATTCAGAGGGGTCTGAAGCTTTCATGGACCCCACCTGCAGAGTTGCCACACATTGTACCTGCAGGGACAGAAGAGATGGGACTAGGGCAAGAAGGTCTGAAATGAAGGCTCAAATCCAGAGTTTAAGCCCCCAGGATGAGGCATGTTTCAGAAGCAGAAGGCTCACCATGGAACTGGTAAGGTGAAACTCTAAGCGCCCAGAACCTTGGTTGAGGTAGGAGCTTCCTTACCTTATAGATGGCAGGCTTCATTGCATCTGTGAAGGAAGAACAACAGCAGCTGATGCTTGGATCCAAGCCTGCTGAGCTCCGCAGGCCCCAGGCTTTGGACAAATGCTTTTCCTTAGCCTTGAAGCCCAACCCTTCCATTTGCAAACTTCTGACTCTACCACCATCTGCTCCATCTTGTGTCATACCCGACAGTACCCTTCCTCCAGACAGAATGGCTAATCCCACCACCC